ATGGTATTTCTCTCCAGCTGCAGAATTGGGGCCTTAATTATGCCTTGTGGCAAAGGGTCACAGGGGACATCTAGTTGTTGTCTTCAGAAGGTTAATGATTCCCGGAGTCTTTCTCATTGCAAGATAGGGAGCGAGTACTTTAGGGAGAGTCACTAACCAAATACTGGGTTACATAACTGTGTTTATGGAAGGACACACATTTGCTAGCAACCTTAAACATTTTCTATAGATGTGTGTAGTTCAGAGATTTGCATTTCTTTTTTCAGTTTGGCTCTCATATGAACCTAATTGACTCTTGAGTGAAGTTACTTTCTGAGAGATAATAGACCTCCTAATACATTTTGTTTATACTTCTATATACAAACAGTTGTCATAATTTTAAGAATATTCCAAAACATTGTATTTTATTGTAGAAAAGCATTCATCTGACTACATCCTGTGCATTGTCCAAACATGTAAACAGCTCAAATCACATATATGGGTCTCCCTACCTTCCAACTGAAAGAACAGAATTCCTTCTGCGAGCCAAATAAGTTAAGAAACGGTCTCTGTGGGATTATAGCCCAAGTTCAGTGCAGTCGTCACAACTCCTGCCACAAACCAAATCTGTTTGAAATAAACGGGGAGAAAGACATATTCAGTCTTGCATAAGCAGCAATTTTGAAACGACTGAACGTGGATCTCGTATGAAGACAGCAATGCTTGTCACTGAAGCAAAAGAGTCAAAAAGACGTGCTTGTGTGGCAGTGGGATAATTGTCTCTTTCCTACAAAGTCAGGCTCGTGATCCAAAATGTCAGAGAGGAATGTTGCGTTTCTGCTTAGGGGATATTCTTAACGTGTCAAGTCCATCTGGGTTAAATTTACTCTTCCACAGAACTAAAATAGAGGGGCGGATGTGCAGAATATTGTCACTTCCATTCACTTCTGTGGCTGAAGCATCATCTACTTCTTACTCAGAACAGTGATTTGAGAAGCAATTTGTCTTTACATAGATATTCTACATAAAAAGAATTGTTAAAAAAGAGTGAAATTGTAAAGCCAAGTATCCCAGACTTATAGTATTCCAGAAGTTAGTGTCCTAATTTGTCTCACTTCTGCATTGTTTTTTAGTCTCATTAGATTTACTAAATTGGTTGAGGCACATTAGGTGCACTTCTGGAGCATGTCTCCCAGTTTACTTTCATCTGAAATGAATTCAGCTCATGCACTTCAAAACTCCGCTGTGTGAACCAAAACACAGTAAGTGGGGACAACCAAGAGATTTCACCTCGAAGGATGATTGGAATTAAAATCTTCTTGTAGATACATCCATTGTTTCTCCCTCTGCTATCTTCATGGAATGCATATAACAGAAAGAGCTGAGCTAATGAGCAGCTATTCAGTAATTTATTTTAATCTTTTGTTCCATGCATGGCCCAGAGCTGTTTCTTGCCTACTGTTCAAAACCTGCTCTGAATCCAGAATTATTAACATCCTCACTAGTTTTTCTCAGAGTGCTCGTCAGAACAGTATGCAGGTGCTTGGCAGGCAGTAAGTTTGCTTGCACTTCATCTTAGTGATGTGGAAGTGTCCAGCAGTTCCCCTTCTGCAGGCAGTGGCAGACAGGCTGGAGAAGCTAGTGTAAAAGCTATTGACTCACTTGGGATTCCAAGATTGAAATTCATCAGACTCGAGATTTTTTTTAAGGGAGTTGAACATTGCTCTTGCTCAAACCCCAGCTGTTTTGACCTTCGTTACAGCTATGAGTGCCCATGGCAAATCAGACTCCAGATTGTCAAGCCAAACACTGGTAAAATAAAAGAAAATGATTAATGAACAAATGTAAAATAAATAAAACTGAAAAATTGTGTTTGAAGCAAGTTGCCTAGCATCCTGCTGGAAGTCTGAGTCTGAGGCAAGAATGGTTGCTAATTCCTCGTGGCAACATTCAGGTGCATTTGCCATGCTTGCTCTTTTGTGAAGTCTCTTTTTTCTTTTCCTGCACACTTTCAGCTTTTGCAACAGATGGAAGAGGAGTTATGTGAGGAACAGCTGCCTTCAGTGGTCTAGCAGGAGCTGTGCTTGCCTTGGGGTTAGAGTCTTCTGGAAATAAGGTAGCCCTAGAACTAGATGAACTTGGGGCTTCCTGTGGATTTGCATCTTGTGGTTGGTAGGAAGCTTTGGTTGGTCTGATGGAAGCTTTTCCACTGGGCTGAGTTACTTCTGAGGCTCTCCTCCATGTGAATTCTCGTGTCTGTCGTAACGCATGAATGGATGTTGCAGTTTTGCTTGCATCAGGTCTTCTGTCTTTTAGCCAGCTGCCTACATTACAAAACATAGCATTGGGTTTATTCCTCTGATGAGTGTCATTGAAAATCTCCAAAAGGTTTTTAAAGGTTTTATTCTCGTTCTGAAGAAGGCAGCATCATCAAAAAGGCCTTGCTGCTGTTGAAATCCCATCTAAAGGAGTAGATGATCATGTAACTAAAGGACTGGACGATAACACATCAGCACTGAGGGTCCAAGCAAAGCTCGCACAGACAGCATCAATTGATACTGCCTAACTCTGGAGTCCTTGATGCTGTAACCATAAAAATACTGGGTTTAGTGTAGCTCTCCCCCACCCCTGTAATTGCCCAGGCTTAAAAAAGCAAACTGTGGTGGAAAAAAGGTATTGTAGCACAACATCAGTAGGCATAAGGCTATATAGTGTAATGGTTAATGGCAGGGTGTGAGGTCTCAACTCTAATGTCTGTAGTACCTCCAATGGACAACCGTCATGGTAGCAGTT